TCTATATGGGTAAGGTTACAATACACCTAGGATGTTGTAACTAACTTAGTTACACCCACCTGTAAAAGACATGTTTGAGTGTCTATAATAACTATCAACACCGTTTATTATGATCTACATGTCATCAAATGTGTGTGGATCAAATATCATGTGTCTTGGGATTTTCTATCTTATAATTCAAGCAACTCAAAATAGCAATCATTTTAGACTGTTATAAACCGTTCATTTCTAGGCTATTATATGTCTAAATTAGAAATATCTTATCTATGTGACATTTTTTTCTTCATGAAGTTTTGGATTTTATAGATCACAAAAACAATGTGAGTTATATCAGCACTCAAACATGTGCTTATTATATAATATAATAATATATATATATATATATATATATATAATATATAATATTATATATATATATATATATATAATATATATATTATATATATATATATATATATATATATATATATATATATATATATATATTCATGGGTCATCATCATGATGCATATGAGAGGATTTCTCTCATATACATAATTGTGGCACAATCTCACCCAAGTGTTATATGAGGCAATTCTCTCTCCAACTTTATATTCACTTGCGTGGAGATTGGTACCACATCATTGTATATGATTATAAATATATATTATATATAATATATATATATATATACTTATATATATATATATATTAATGGGTATCATATGTCATATGAGAGGATTCTCTCATATACAATGATGTGGCACAATCTCCACCAAGTGTATTTATGATGCATTCTCTCTCCTACTTTATTCACTTGGTGGAGATTGTGCCGATTGGTTCTCAACTTTAGGTTCTGGTTGTTGCTAATCCAGCAAAAATCAATGCTGGATATGATAAGTTGAATTACAATAAGAACTAGAGTTTGCAAGACGATACTCGCCACAAATAAGTTGCGACTTCAGCTCAGATAATTTGGTGTGAATTTTCAAGTATAATACCCACAAATAATACCAAATAGGGATCTTAAAAGCATATTGTAACCGACTAATGCGCAATAAACCAACTCAATGCCAAACAAGCAATCTAGCTCTAAGTACAAAAACATTACAAAAGTAATTTCTTCAACATTGTCGGGAGATTCTTACCAAAATGAGGCAGCACATTACATTTGCTCCACCGTTTCACTAACACCATCTGGAAACAAATGGAGTGGAATCAATTAAAAAGAAAAAGAAAAATCAAAATTCCAACAACTAACCTCGAATAAACCCAGTCAAACAAATGGACAGGAAACAAAGAAGAGCTAATATCCACCAAACGAGAAAGATTTATAACATTTCCTTCAAATTAAAAGCAAGATACAAATCCTATCCCACTAAAATCACCAGATTCATTAAAAAAAAGACATTTAAAACCCCACAAAATTACATACACCAATGCTCTTTTTCTAAAAGAATTCGTCAAAAACACATTCCAACTAGAATTATTTCACTGATGCTCTCACTGGTCCAAGCGATATACTTCAAATATTAGTAACAAGTTTTTTTCTTACATGAGGAGACGCATATAAGTACTCTATGTTATTTTATCAACTGTTTATTTTTTTTATTTTCTATTAATTCTCAGGCAATTACAGGCACATGCAAGATTTTTAAACGGTTGAGTTTAGAAAGAAATAAATTTTTTGGTTTTCATATAACTGGAAGATTGTAAAGAATATTGATAGTCAATGATTGTTTAGATAGGAATGGGATAATAGGAAATTCTTTCATACGTGAAGAATCAAAATTTGATCAGAAAAAATCAAAATTTTTCTCACCTTGAGTAATCCCTCTTCGGATCATCAACACAAAGCTTGCTCGGCATCGGATTCTGCTCAGAGGTGGACTGAGCACATTACCTTCGAGGGGAAGGTACAGCTAATGACGGTGACGGTGTAGACGCCGACGACGGAGAACGTGGGATGGTCTTCGACGGGGCTTCGTCATCGGCGACAATGTCGAGAGAGGTACGATGTCGGGAGAGGGAAGAGGGATGGTCTTCAACGAGGGCGTCGGTGTCGGAGTTGGGGCTGGGGGAGGGTTTTGGGACCGATTCTTCAATTTGGGGATCTGATATTGTTTGAGGGTCACGGGGGGAGAGAGAGAGAGAATTGTTTTAATTCACCATCGCTACCCTTTTTCAAAAAAGCCCCTGCGTCCATGCCCTTCCAATCAGACCACGCCACATCAGATTGAGCGCAGGAAATTTCCTGAGCTCGAGCTCAGGATCAGTTTTCCCATATATATATATATATATA